TTCCGATCGCCGCCAATGGGCCGCCGCTATCCGTGAAGCCGATTCATCCAACCACAGGAGCTAATTGGATCAAGTAAGTAAAACCTACCTGGGTAGTCGACTTACTGTATCAGGATTGGGGGATTCCATACGTTGCAGGGGGTTGAGGGGATGAATCGGTCCAAGTGTGATCGAACTCACGGCTCCCGGTGGGAGCCTCATAGTTCAGTTGGTTAGAGCATTGACTGTACTAAAGCCTTCCCCTTGCTGGCATGGATTCGAATCCCACTAAGGCCGTTGAGTTTTTCGCAATTAGGTCAAATGAAAAGTAGAAAAGGCATTTATCGGGAGTTGTTTATCTGCGTTCTGACGCTTTGAGTAGTGATCTCGTCTACCCATCGCAACCTCAGTCCTCAAATAAAACACTTTCGGCGAACATTCCTTCTCCTTTTGAATATTTCGTGTGTTTTAGCATTTTCTTATTCTATAGGTCTTAACAAATCACTTTGATTTTCTGTTTCTTTCTCTCTGAGGCCGAATAATGACCTAGAAAGTTATCCTCACCTAACATCTGCATTTTCTTCTTTTTTGTACCACTTCCCTAAAGAAAGAATCCTTTGTCCTCACCCTGGTGGCGAGTTCCGTGCTCACCTACGTTCTCGGTATTGGGGACCGACACAACGATAACATCATGGTCTGTAAATCTGGCCAGCTCTTCAACATTGACTTTGCCAAAATCTTCGGCAATTTTCAGACGATCATCGGCATTAATAGGTGCGTCGGTCTTTTTAGAAAATAATTTACTCTTCTTAAAATCACCTCCCCGGTTTGAACGAGCAGGCATATCCTCTTATTGCTTTCAAACAAATGGAATTGTTCTCCTACAAACGGGCGCTCTTGCGCCCCTGCATTGTCCAACTACTTGCGATGTTTCCCTCCTATCGCCTAGACAACACTTCCTTGTCTAAGGGCTGATATTTCTTTTTTACGTCGCACTTAATGGATAGAATCACCGTCTTATACTGTAACTGAACTTATGCTCCGTTGCGATCAGAGATTCACTTTCAATCTTCTAGTTTAGTCTTCTAAAAGACATATCGGCCTTTAAGATTGATTATTACACGTTCTGGCCTTAACTATTCAGAAATATTTTTAATAATCAAAATGCTGAACTTTTTGTGGCGTTTTCTGCACACCACTCTTATCGTAAAAAGATAGGAATCGCTCAGTTTCACAAACCCACATGGATAACATAGGACCTAAGTAGACCTCGCAATCTCGTACTTTAAACGGCCCAATCAGAAAAGGTAGTAAAGGCTAAAATGGTGCTCTTATTTTGAAACGTTTTTAGCCTACGACCCTTTATTAGCGTGAGATACCTGAACACCGGCTCTGTTTGCGACGCTGATGTTCCAAATCAGAGCCTGCTGGTTTTCGCGAGCGATCAGTATGTTTTTGTGGTTTATTTAAATACTGTTTGTAGGCCTGTCCGAAGTTATGTCAACCCCTAATGAACATGGTTAATAAGCTTTCGTTTGAAAGGTACTGCGATCAAATCACTCAAGTGCGTCTTCTTTTTTATCCACCACCTCAGAGATCGCGCACCCTTTGTTCTCACGCCGGATATGCTGCGAGTGGTGAAGGAAGCACTCTCAACCTGGCCGGCACCAGCCAAGCTGAAGAAGGACAAAGGTCTCGAGGATCTCCAGCAGTTTGTAGGCCTCTGTTGTGAGGCTTACAACCTCCTACGCAGGAATGCTCCCGCCCTGTTGAACATCCTCGAAATGGTACTTACGTCTCCTATATTATGATGATGTTCCACCAAGCAGTACTGCGGCGATGGGGTTGTAGAAAATAGCAACTTTTGACGTGCGATTGCATAAATCCACCAGTCCATAATATGAGAGGGTATATCAAAAAACTAGAACTATTTATTTAACATTTTCCTTTAACATTCTATTTTTAAACAAATAATCTCGTTCAAAATACTGTCCATTGGCTGAGACGCACTTGTTCCAACAGAGGTTTTTTCAATCGTTCGGAACATGTTTATAGTCTTCTAAAAAAATTTTGTTAATCGGATGCAATAATTATTCTCTTAACCGCTTCTAAATTCAGAAAATCTTTACCCTTTAATGTTTTCTTCATTCTTGGGAGTAAGCGGATGTCATAGGGGGTTGGGTCGGAGGATTGAGGGCGTTGAAGAAGTATTTTCATGTCGTACTTGGGTAGGCGCGTTTTCAAGATGCAACATTCGGTTCCCAGTCGCCACAGTTCAGGTCCTTTTTTTCTCACTGTTTCACACCCTTGATTCTGTACTCACAGAAGGCAATTTTGGTTTACTGTAGTGCCATGAGAAACACTTCTAACGTAAAAGACTCCTTTGATGACGACGCGTTGCAACTTAACTTTTCTCCACTAAGCATCGCCAAGAGCGTTGGGAGTAGGTTTAATAGCACACACTCTGTGCGCTGCGAGGGTTGCTCGTGAACCCTGCTTTGCCAACTGAACCGAGAACGTGTTTAGTAAACGTACCTAGCGGGAGCGGGTAGCACTGTCAACTCACTCGTCTTTTGTGTGTGTTTTTCAGCGTCCGGCATCCTTTTATCACATTTGCGAGGGCTATTTTATAGTTCCGCATTAATATCTACTCTAGGTGCGTTCCTAATAGTTAATTGGCAAAGTTCCCGCGACCTTATACGTTAGAAACACAATTA